TCATGATGTTGCTTAATGGTCCAGTTGTGAGGATTTTTGTTTTCTTTATATTGAGGTGTAATCCATACTGAAGAGTGTAGTCTTTGATCTTCATTAGTAATTGCTTCAAGTCTTCTTTACTTTCAGCAAGCAAGGTTGTGTCATTGCATATCACAGGTTGTTCATGAGTATTCCTCCAGTCTTGATTCCATGTTCTTCTTCATATAGTCCAGCTTCCTGGATTATTTGCTCAGCATACAGATAGAATAACTATGGTGAAAGAATACAACCCTGACACACATGCTTCCTGATTTTAAACCACTCATTATTCCCTTGTTCTGTCCAGAGGACAGCCTCTTGGTCTATGTACAGGTTCCTTATGAGCACAATTAAGTGTTCTGGAATTCCCACTTTTCACAATGTTATGAATAATTTGTTATGATCCACACAGTTGAAAGCTTTTGCATAATCTATAAAACACAGGTAAACATCTTTCTGATATTCTTTGCTTTCAGCCAAGATCCATCCAACATCCTCAAGGATATCTCTAATTCTACATCCTCTTCTGAATCCAGTTTGCATTTCTGGAAGTTCCCTGTCAATATACTGCTGCAACCACTTTTGAATTATCTTCTGCAAAATTTTCCTTGCATCTGATATTAATGATATTGTTTGATAATTTCCACATTCTTTTGGATCACCTTTCTTTGGAATGGGTACAATTATGGATCTCTTCCTTTTAGTTGGTCAGATCTTCTAAATTTATTGGCAAAAATGAGTAAGCATCTCCAGTGATGCATCCATTTGTTGAAACATCTCAGTGAGTGTTCTGTCAATTTCTGAAGTCTTGTTTTTCATCATTGCCCTCAATGCAGCTTGGACTTCTTCCTTCAGTACCACTCGTTCTTGACCATATGCTACCTCTTAAAATGGTTGAACATTGACTAATTATTTTTGATACAGTGACTCTGTGTATTCCTTCCAGCTTCTTTTGGTGCTTCCTGCAGCATTTAATATTTTCCCCGTAGAATCTTTCAATATGGCAACTCGAGCTTGAATTTTTTCTTCAGTTTTTTCAGCTTGAGAAATGTAAAGTGTGTCATTCCTTTTTGGTTTTCTAAATCCAAGTCTTTGCACATTTCATTACAAAAATTTACTTTGTCTTCTCAAGCCACCCTTTGAAGTCTTCTGTTCAACTTTTTTATTTCATTATTTCTTCCATTTGCTTTAGCTACTCTCCATTCAAGAGCAAGTTTCAGAGTCTCTTCTGACATCCACTTTGTTCTTTTCTTCCTTTTCCATCTTTTTAATGACCTTTTGTTTTCTTGTATGATGTTCTTAATATCATCCCACAACTCATCTGGCCTTCAGTCATTAGTGTTCAATGCATCAAATCTATTCTTCAGATGATCTCTAAATTCAGGTGGGACATAATCAAGGTCATATTTTGAGTCTTATGAACTTGTTTTAATTTTCTTCAGCTTCAACTTGAACTCAGTTGTCAGTTTGTCATACTGCAGTGGCTTTTGTGTTGCTCTGAGACTGGAGGCTATGCCACTGGTATTTAAAATACCAGCAGGGTCACTCATGGTGGACAGGTTTCAGTAGAGCTTCCAGACTTAGACAGACTGGGAAGAAGGACCAGGCCATCCATTTCTCAAAAGAAAAAAAAAAAAAATTGGTCACTGAAAACCTTATGAATAGCAGTGAAACACTGGTAGTATGCAGAAGATGAGTCCCTCAGGTTGGAAGGAACTCAAAATATTACTGGGGAAGAGCTGACTCCCCAAAATAGAGTTGACCCTTAATGAGGTGGATAGAGTAAAGCTTTTGAAACTTTCATTTGCTCATGGGGCATGACTTAACATGGGAAGAAACAGCTGCAAACATTCATTAATAACTGGAACACGGAATGTATAAAGTATGAATTGAGGAAAACTGGAAGTTGTCAAAAAATGAAATAGAACAGATAAAGATCAATATCCTAAGCATTAGTAAGCTGAAATGGACTGGTATTGGCCATATTGAGTCAGACAGTCATATCATCTGCCATGCTGGGAGTAGGGCGTAGGAGGGGAAAAACTATGTCAGCAGTTGTCAGAGGGAAATTTGGAGATCAAAAAAAGAGTTTAAAGAGAAATCATAGTTATCTAGTGTTATGTAATCCACCCTCATATTCCCAAAAAACAGTCAGTAAAATTTTCCATTGTTTTTGGAGTGTGATTTGTAGGGTTTTGGAATATGGATTGAGAATGACTTATGTCTGGATTCCTACGAATGGGCGATTCAAGGAAGAGGAAGCTCCAGGATCTGGCCCAGTTTCTGTGGTGAAAGACAACAATAGCTTCTGGAGGGAGTGACCTCAGCCTGTGAGCCTTCATTCTGGGCCTACTGTGCTCCTGCCAGGGAGAACCATACCCTGCCTCATCTCCTGGTCCCTAGGGTCCTCCATAAATCATTCCTACTAGCTTCACACACAAGAGCTAACAGCTGTTGTTGCATGGATGAAAGGTTCAGAGAAAAGAATTCTGGACACCTCTTGCAGACTACAGAGAGAAAATGGCATCAGAGATGGCTGGGCTAGTGGTTAGTTTGGGGTAGGTGGAGGATCAGCCTGCACCAGTGATACCCTAAGACCATACTGAGTGCAGAAATCTTCCTTCCGAAAAGTGGCTGGTAGATTTGAACTGCCAGCCTTCTGGTTAGCAGTCAAATGCCTTAGGCACTATGGCACTAGAGCTCCTATATCAGGATTGTTGTTGTTATATGCCGTCAAGTCGGCCCCAACTCACAGCAACCCCTCCTTGCGGGTTTCCGAGGGGGTATCACTACAGAAGTAGGATTGCCCAACCTTCCTTCCGAGGAGTGGCTGGTGGGTTTGAACCTCCAGCCGTCTGGTTAGCAGTCAAGTGCCTTAGGCACTATGCTACCAGAGCTCCTATATCAGGATTAGTCATTGATTTTTATTACTTTAGGAACTCAAGGGCACAGAATTAGACTAAACATAATCTTTGGTTCATGACACTCTTATCCCATTCATCCATCAATGGCTCACTTATGAACACCTGTGAAACCACCACCTGCCTCCCCTCAGAGGAAACCATGATCCTAGATTTCAATCTTCCATTCCTTCTTCTCCATCTCACCACCCACCATGTGTAATTCCCCACACACACACACACACACACTTGCGTGTAGGCTAGACCTAGTGACTTGCTTCTAATAAACAGAATACAGTAAGTGATGGGATGTGACTTCCATGGTTACATTACATAAGAGTATAATTTCCTTCTTGCTCACAGACTCTACTAACTTTCTCCCTTGCTGGTTTTGAAGTAATTTGCCATGTTGGAAATGGCTACTTGACAAGGAAATGAGGGCAGCCACAGGCCAAGAACCAGCAAGAAACTGGGGCCCTGAGTCCAACAGTCCACAAGGAACTAACTCCTTCCAATAACCAAATGAGCTTGGAAATGGCTCCTTTCCCAGTCAAGACCTCAGGTAAGAATACAGCCCTAGCCAACAGACTGCAGCCTTGTGAGAAACCCTGAAACAGAGGACTCAGCTAAGCCATACCAGGACTCTTGACCCAGAGAAAATGTGAGGTAATAAATGTGTGCTGCTATAAGCTACTGTTTGTGGTAATTTGTTACACAGTAATAGATAATAGAGGTGTTTTTTTTTCTCATTCTTCTCTTATTACAAACCCTTGTTGCTATGAACAATGCTGTCTCCCAGAACACAAGAGCTTATGTTTCCCTTGGGTATATGCTGGGTATATACCCAGGAATGGCATTGCTGGGTCTCAGGATTTATTAATGTTCAATACTACTGGTAATCAGTGAACAAACAGGTAAGGTCACACCATAGCCATGGTGTTTTGGTGAGAAGCTAAATTTGGCCTTAGTCCATAGAACTTGAGATCTGTGGGCTGGAAATCATACACAAGACGAGTTGAGGGTCAGTCCATGGGCAAAAATGAAAGTGAGTGTGGGGTTGCAGCTGGAGAGAGTCAGAAACCTGTGTTTGGGGCTAAATTTGGATGGGGTTCTCCAACCCCACTGTAAGGTCACTGTAAGGGTGGGCTTAGGGATCATCCAGGGCCAAGGTTAGGGGTCAGGATGTCACAGTGATGCTTGGTGATATCATCAACCAACAGGAGGTGGTCACCCCACAAGTGAGACCCACTCTGAGGTTACATAGAAGGCTCTTGGGGAGAAGGGAGGAGGAAGGACAGGGTGCCCTCAGGGATCCAGGCAGAGAGAGAGAGAGAGAGTAGGCACCAGAAAGAAAAAGCATCATCTTTAATAGAGGCAACCTATTCCCACATCCCCCAGACACTCCCCAGTGGTCAGAATGGGTGCCAAGAGCGATTGGCATAGGCACAGCCATGTCTTCCCCACTCCTGGCTGAGCCCACTCCTCACCCCTTCCTCTCCAGCTGCTGCAATCTCCAGCTGCAGGTTGGGCCCCAGGTGAACGCCCAGGATGGGCAAGGGAGACCCTCAGGTGCCAGAGGCAATTTCCCGTATGGCCAAGAGTACAGAGATCCAGACTGGATGGAGATGCTGCTGTCCTCGGAGCTGGGCAGGAACACGGTTCCGGGGATGAGAACTGAACCAGAGAGCTCCTCCCGAGGCCCAGCGCCGGGAGCGCCAAGGCGGAGTCCCTGACGTCGTTGGGCACTGCTTTGGGGGACGTGCCCGGTCTCTGCACGCAGCTTCTGGGTTCTGAAAAGCGGTCCTTTCTCCTAACCCAGACGAAGTGGAAGGAGGTGGCTCAGTCTGGTCGTGGGGCTCCAAAACCCATCTGGTCGCCCTCTACCCTCACTTCCCGCCCCCACCCCCCCCCCCACCCCCCCACCCGCACCCCTGCAAGGAAGAGGGCTCTTGCGCCCAGGACGCATGTACAAACGGCTGGCTCCGCTCTCCCAGTCGTCCTCTGGTCGGTCGGTGAGTGGTAAGTCTCCTTGTTTGAGCTCCTGTGGGTACCCGAGCAACGCCGCGTCTCGCTGGTCGCCGCTCACCGCTGCTTCCGCTGCGCCTGCTGGAGCCGCCGGGAGAGGTCGTCGATGCGCACGTTCTTCAGCTGCAGCAGGTGCTCCAGGCGCCTCACCTTCATCTGCAGGACCTGGGCCGCGCGCGCAGAGGTCAAACCCGGCAACCTGCTGCCCTGGCCCCTGCCTCTGCTGGCACCAGATCCCCGTGCCTTCCCAGAGCACCCTCACCTGCACTGTCTCCTGTGAGGCCAGCAGCTCCTGCTCCTTTTCGGCGATCTGAAGGATGAAGCTTGGGTCGCCCTGAAGCGCCTGGCTATACCCCGGAGGGCCGGGCGCGGGCAGCCGCCCCGCCCTGGGATGGGGTCAAGTGAGAAGAGACTTAGCGGAGAACTGGACCTCGGGCCCTCACCCTTCCAGTGCCCTTGGCTGTTGCTCCTCTCCCCACTTTCCTGCCTACCCTTCCCTCCCAGGCACAGCATTCTCCCTGCTACCTCCCCCCAGACCACCAGGGCAGGTGAGATCAGGAACCTCCAGCCACAGCTTACTTGAGCGGTCCTCCTCCCTGTGGTTCTGGGGCACCTTCTCCCCCGGCCTTATGGGGCAAACCTGAGGACAGGCACGTGGAGGAATGGCCGGCTGCCCTCCCACATACCCGTTTGCCATAAGAACAAAGGAGGAGAGGAAAGAGAGGCTGCCTACCCACATCCATGTAGCCACTGCCATCCTGGGGAGCCAGTTCCTGAAAGAACCCCACGTCCACTGTGAGCCCGGGCTTGCCCATCCCCAAGGAGCCCCTTGCCCCTTCTGTGGCTTCCCAGACCAGGTTCGCTTTATCCAGGTACTTATCACCAAGCGAGGCTTTCTGCTGCCTGCGAAGCCCCCCAGAGTTACTGGAGACGTGGAGGCGGGGTGGTACCTGTGAGGAGGCCAAACCCTGCTTCCTGCGCCTCTGCCGTTCCTCCAAGCGCTGCCGCAATGGGATGAGGACCAGCTCCACAACACCCGGGGCGCATTGAGCGATCTTGCGCGTCACGTCCTCCGGTACCGAGAAGTTCAGCTTATTCAGCACCTTCCTGGGGGCAGACATGCAGGTGGTGGACTGGATCCAAGCGTGATGAAGGGAGGGGATGGAGAGGAGAGGGGAGGCAGCGGTCTCAGTGCTAAGAGAGCCGCTCTAGGGGAGCCGAAGAACACCACTGAGCCGTCCTGCTTGGGTGCTCTGAGGTTCCAGTGGCCTCCCTAGTAGAAGCGTCCCTGGTTTTGTTACCAGTCTAATTCATTCTGTCAGTGTTGGCCCTCTCCACCCTGCCACTCTTCCTCAACACCCTCCCCCAGCAGACCAAAGGAGGCGGAGTTGCTAGGGCAGCCCTTCCTGGGGAGGGCAGGAAAGGCTGGAGAGTCCTGCCTCAAGACCAGGTATTCTGCTACCTATTCAGGTGATTCCAGTTGCTAAGCTTTTGCTGGAGAGAGTTGGCCGGGACATAATTGTGCATCTCCACCATCTTGGGAAAGTAAAACTTGATGACCTCTGCAACTAGGACTGAAGGAGTGGGGTGGGGCAGACGTGGAAGTTGGGGGGATGGATAAGGTAGAAGGAGGTGGGAGAAGAAAATGACAGAGTAGAGAAATAAGGAGTGGGCCAAGTGGAAGGGTGGAGATGGTGAAAAGGGGAGGGTGACAGGGAGGAAGAAAAGGGAGGAGGACAAAGAAAAAAAAGAGTCATTAGGGAGAGAAGACAAAGTGTTCAGCATACCCCAGAGAAGCTGCAAACCTTCCCCCTTAACTAATGGCATGGGGAAGCTGAGGTCTCTTGTTATGTAGCAGAGAATAAGTCTCCAGGAAAGATCCTGGGGTCCTTCCCTAGGCAGTCACTTAGATGTGCATGCATGCATGAACGTGCATACACACACGTGCACGCGCACACACACACACTCCAACACCAATTTCCCAGGAGAGACTCACATAGAGACACAATGTGAGAAGACCTTCCTACAGATATACATATAGAACAGATGTGTTCACAGAGGACACACACATACCCACACACACACATACACACACAGAGTCACCTGTGCACATAAATCCATTGCTGTTGAGTCTATTCTGACTGATGGCAACCCTATAGGACAGAAAAGACCTGTCCCATAGGGTTTCTAAGGCTTAAATCTTTACAGAAGCAGACTGCCACATCTTTCTTCCAGGGAGTGGCTGGTGGGTTCAAACTGTCGACCTTGGATTAGCAGCTGAGCACTTAAGCACTGCGCTACCAGAGCTTCCTCATATGCACATAGCCTCTCTAAATGTATACACACACCGATACAAACTTCACTGAAATACCAAGAGAAAGTCACAGATACACAAACACTGACACAATCACACAGTCACAAAGGAACATATATGCACCAAACCCAACACACATACATACAGGGCAGAATGTGCTGACCACATATGGACACACAGATGCTTAGACTCCCAGAAGACAAACATATAACACACACTCAGCTATGTGTATTCACACACACACCGATAGATGTTCAAAGACATACAAGTGTGCATCTTAGTCATTAAAGTCTCAAGGAGTCACAGATTCACACACTCAAAGACATATGTACACACAAAAAAACATATGCACACATGCATACAGGATAAACCATGTCCACATATACATGTCCAAATTCTCACAGATACACATAGAAAATACACATACTTAAGTCCCAGGGGGCAGTCAGACCTCTCTGCCCCCCTCAAAGCACAGAGACACATATGCACACAGACATCTTACACACTTACATACAAGACAGAACATACAGACACACATAGGCGCATACACTCACACAGGCGAGCACACACACACACACACACACAAGGGTGCACACCTCCGTCACTGAAGTCCCGGGAAAGGTTTCGCTTGGGCCGGGACAGAGGGATGTTGTCCACCCACAGGTACAGCTGGTGCAGTGTCTCCTCGTCCACACTGCCCTCCATTGGTGTCCGGGCAAAATTAGGTTGTTTCAGCCGTGCAGTGGCCAGCCTCAGCCTCACGACCCTTCAGGCGCTTTTTCTTCAGCCGCTGCCCGCGCCCAAACTCCGCGACTAAAGTCCCAGCTGCGAGCGGCCATATTGTTTCATGAAACCATAGCAACCACCCGATCGCCCGGGAGCAGGGACTTCTGGGAGTTGCAGTTTTTCCACAGCTGCCTCCTCCAAGGCCCCAGCTTTGAAAGGGCGTTTAGGGGTATTTGTCTTCCCCTCCTCCCCAAGAAGGCATCACCTCTGCATCTACTGACAAGCCATTGGTCTACTCTGCGACCTGCCAAAGCCTACAGGGCCCCAAGAACCCCTACACTAGTGTCTCCAGGGCTGGGATCCCCTTTGTGGGCCCTTTAGCAGCCAGTGGCAAACAAGACAACTTCATATCCCGACGTTTGTCAGCTTTCTCTGGGGGTCCACCCATCTGTACTGTGTGATAGGCTGTGTGATGCCTTCTTGCTGGGTCCCTCACCAAAGTTCTATGCTCTTAGGGCTATCTCCACCTCCCTCCCAGCAGAGTCCTGGTAGTGCATTTAATAGTCAGACTTCCAGAGCTAACAACACCAGAGCTCAAGGCAGAGTGCCTGAGTGCCTGGGGCTGGTCACTTACCTCCTTAACTGTTCCTCCTTTGGGAAATGGGAATGGTTCTCACCTATTAGTCCCAATGGGGTAGCAAAGAACTTTAAAGTGTTATTTTACAGACCACCTGTATTTGTATGAGGACTAGGGAATTGGGGTTGGTGAAAGGTTGAGGAATCACAAGAGCTCCTGTACACACTTCCCCACCCCTCAATCTCCCCCTAAAGTGCTATTCTTCATGGATTGGAAATGATTCAAATCAATCTGGGATTAATCAGTTCCATTTCAAAACAGCACTACACTCAGGAGGGTTAGGAATTTGGATCCCTCACTGAGGGAGTAACAGGAAAGCAGCTCTTCTAGGACCAGCTTGGGAGCAAAACTTGCTTCCACCAGATTAGCTGTGTGCTCTGCGCACATTATAGCACCCCTCTGTACCTGCTTTCTCAGTTTTACCTACCTTATAGGGGCTTTGTGAGCAAATCCACTTAAAATGCTTAGTACAGCTCCTGGCACACAGCAGGGGTCCTATTAACATCAGTTGGCATTATCACTAATTAGTTCATTTCAGTTCCAACGAAAGGGATATTCTTGTTGGCAGGAGACAAATGGAAGTGATTTGCCTTGTTGGCATTTGAAGGGAGGGACCTGGGTTTGAGGCCACTGCTCTTCCCTACTTACTCCAGAGTACATCAGAGGGTAGACAGGGCTGCGTTATGACTTCTTGGCCTGCTCCCTAAGGGCTCCAATTGGTGACGGTGGTGATGATGGTTCAAGGTGTCTCAACTGCTCTTTGCAGTTAAGTTTTCAAGCCTTGAAGGCCTGAAGGCAAGCAGAGTGCCAGAAGCATGAAAGGCCATTCAGTGTGGGGACAGTCACTCACCTTCTTGTTTTAAAATATGCATGGTGGCCTTGCTTTTCTAAAAGGGAACACACCCCGATAGGCAAGGAACCAAAGATGATCTAGACATTCCCTGCCCTGTCCCCCCCCCAACATTCCAGGGTGGAGAGAGGAACTGCAAGGTGGTGGTAGGGGAGAGGGAACTGCAGGGGTCACATTCCAGCTGCAGTGGAGGTGGGAAAACCGGTTTGGGGCCCAGAGTTGCCAGCCCTGCTTAGGCTCTGGCTCTCGCGATTGAAGCACTGGGGTCTGAAGGTCTCACTGAGGGAGCGTGAGGAAGGGAGAGGTGGGCCTGAAAAGTGGGGACAGGAAGGGGGTGGATAGCAGAGAGCTCTGCCTTCACCTTTGGACTGGGCCTCACCTAGCGGGCACTGCACAGGGAGTTAGCAACTCATCCTTAGCCTCGTGAAGGTGCAATCTGTCCCCAGTATCTTCATGGGTCAGCATTTTCACCTTTCTCCTATCACAACCACCAAAGGTGACCACCAGTCTGAGATGCCACCACCAAAAGGCCTAAAAATCTCTCTTAAAGCACTAAACTAAATGCTGCCCCAGCTAACTCCAATTTGGACCACAGGAGCTGCCTCAACATCCCTTTCTTTCTGTTCTCCGGCCTCCTCCTTCAAGGGCCTTCTTTAGCCAGTTTCGATGGACCAAGTACCTACACTGTCTGATGTGCCCAACAGGGACTTTTAGCATCCTCCCTCCAGTCCCAGCCAAATTACTCCAACCTTCTAACTCCAAAAGCAGTATCAGCCTGGCTTTCTCAGGCCCAACCCCCAGTGCACTGAAGACTCTTTTCCAAACCCCAGATAATAGTTAAGAGACAATGTTGAAAGCTCCCCCTGCTCCTTATCCTGGTCAAGACCTAGGCTTTGCCTACCCTCTCAACTCTTGCTTCCACATCCCACCAGAGCAGGGACCAAAGGGAACCAGGAAAGGATGTGCCCCCAAAACAGACGCAAGCCCAAACCATGAAGGATGCACCCTTGGCTGTTAAAATGTTCACCCCCACAAAAGGGGGGTGGACAGATTTATTGAATTCAAACTGGGGAAGGAGCAGCTGAAGGCCAGACTGTGGGCCCAGCCCCAGGCCGCTCTGCCCAGGATTGGGCCCTGCAAGAGAGGGATGAGAGGCATGGGGCCTATAGCTGCCCACTTAGGAAGCATTATCACTCCCTTAGAGGGCCTCGTGGGACTCTCCAATCTGGAAAGAAAACCAAAGGCCAAAGTAACATGGACTGAGCCAGAGACGGGATTAGGGAGATGGGAAAGCAGGCAGAGGCAGGTTCAGGAACCTGCAGTGAGTTAGAACTGTGCTTCTCGAAGCAGCCCCAGGGTTGGGGTAGGGCTACCAGCCTTGGGGAGGCCTAGGCTGGACCTTCCTCTGGGAGCCATTCCCAGAATGGCTTTGGGGTCCCCCTCTGCCAAGGACCTGGTATGGATGGCAGAGGGGACAGGCACTCTCTGGCCGGGAGCTTCCAGGGCCTATCCCTGGCTGCTGTGGTCTAGTCCACTGATGGCACGGTGTGGTAGCACCGGACGGCTCCCTGCCCACTTCACCTGGTCCCCCAGGCCCAGGGGCAAAGGAGAGGGAAGAGGATTCTGAGAAAGAGGCAACAAGCAGGCAGTGAGGCTGACCCCAGCTCCAGCCTGGGCCCTACCCAGGTGACCGGGCCTATCACAGGGCTGGGGAAGCAACAGTAAAGGACCTGGGGTTCCCCACCCTGGCTCCATCCACAGCGGCTGTTCTCTGGATTGGTGCTGCCACATCTGGATTAGGGCACGGCTAGATCCGGTAGCTCAGCTCTGATGCCCAAAACCCCACACTCCCACCTGCCTGGCGTGGTTCTTCTTGGTCACATGGACCAGATCATGTTCTAAGTGGAGGATGTGGCTCTGCACACGGTCATCAATGGGAAAGGAGGTCAGGTACCTCTTGACCATGGCAAAGTAAGCCATGGCCTCCCCAAAGCTGGGCACAGGCACCTCGTCACCATCCTCCTCATCATCGTCTTCATCTTCATCCTCCTCATCCTCATCTTCCTCCTCATCCTCACTGTCTGACTCAGAGTCCTCCTCGCCTTCCAGGAAATGAAAGGTAGGGCACTGGGCCTCCTCCTGGGCACCGTAGCCCCCAAAGCTGCCACCAGCCTCCACTACTCCCTGAGCCCAGTCCTCAGCATCCAAGCCCTCAGAGGAGCTCTCCTCCTCCTCTTCCTCCTCCTCCTCTTCATCACTGTCATCAACATCACCCTCCTCCTCCACCTCCTCTTCCTCCCCTAACTCCTCACCCTCCCCTCCCTCCTCCTCCTCTCCTTCTTCTTCTCCTTCCCCTTCCTCCCCTTCTTCCCCTCCCTCCTCCTCTTCTTCCTCCTCTTCCTCCTCCTCCTCCTCCTCCTCTTCTTCCTCTCCCTCACTCTTGAGGGCAGTAGTGATGGTAGCATCTGGGTCACCCCCGAAGCCAGCCTCGCGAAAGCAAGTGGCTATGTCTGAAGGCTGGACCGCCTGCCAGGCTGCGGCCACAAAATGCAGGGCTTCCATGAGGCCCAGCTGCAGGCGTGAGGGATCCTGGCTCTCTAGTGCAGCCATGGCCTTGAGCAGCATAGCCTGGCGGTAGTGGCCCTTCACCTGTTGGACCACTCCCCGCTCCAGCGGCTGCACAGTGCCTGATGGGAAGAAGGCCAGTTGCACATGCTGCAGACCCGAGGTATCCAGGGACTGGGCTGCCATGCGGCCGGCCAGCAGCAGGACTCGTCGAGACTCCGTGGCCATGCGGGCATCCAAGGCCTTCAGGTACTTGGCCAACACCTGGCTGGTGACACCACCCTTAGAGTTGGCAGTGTAGTCGCAGGGCAGGCCCCCTTGGCCTGCACGGGGCTTTGCCGACTTGCCTGCCACCAGCGGGGGCAGCTTCTCACTACCATCAGCGTTGGCGCACAGCAGGACACTCAGGCGCTGGGTGGCCCTGCGCTCCCGGCCATCGCTGCTACACAGCCCGGCAGCCTGGTCGGGCAGGAAGTCGTACCACAGACTGGTCTCGATAGCGCTGAACACGTCCTGCGAGGCGTAGCCCTCGACCACTGACGGCTGCTGCTCCTCCCAAGTGTGCCTGCCCGCGCCCCCGCCACTGCCCTCCGAGGGCACCGCAGCGGAGCTGGCAGGCGCCGCCGGGCGCCGGGGGGCAGAGTTGCGCGCCCGGGGGCGGGGCACGCCGCTGCAGGACATCACACCGTGGCGCCGGCGGAAGCGGTCCAGCCAGCCGTTGGAGGCGGTGAAGTCGTCCATGCCCAGCTCCTCAGCTATACGCAGCGCCTTCTCCTTGAGAATGATGCCCTTGACTGGCAGGCCGGCGGCGCGGATCTGCTGGAACCAGGCTATGAGCAACCCCTCGAGCTTGTCGTAGGGCGACAGCTTGTTAGTCTTGCGGCAGGTGGAGGCCACACCGTACTTGCGCTCCGACGCCAGGATGGC